CTTAACATCAACATCATCACCTCTATGTCTGATTCCAAAGATGCTTAAAACATATTATTTTTAGCAGTTAAAATGATCAATAATTAGCCGAGGAATCAGGAAAAAGTATGGCACATTAGTTACTTCAATAAGATAAATACACACATTTTTTAACAACCATTGTAGAAACCATCTAATAACTAAAACAGTAACTGTATTTGCTTATAAACAAACAAACATCTAAAGTGTTAAAAAGTGTTAAACAAAATAAAAATAGATGAATAAAAGATAGTATCAAGTGTTTAAATTGTCTTGTATTTTTAAGGTATTCTTATTTTTCTTTCCTTTTACTGCTTCAGTATCATTTGGCCTCCCTGGGCAGACGGCAGTGCAGGACATCGGTACTCATCAGTGACTAAGAGTGTGCAGGATGTCAGTGCCAACCTGGACTCAGCAGAGAGTGCTAATTGTGTCTATTTGGACAGCATTGCCTGACTATGGGAAATTAAACAACACAAACCAGTTTCTGTTGCTGGACAGCATATTTCCGGTCAGCTTATGCAGAGCAGGTTATCAAAGAGCTCCCAGCAAGCTATCACATTAAATCCACACTCTGTTTGGCATATTAATTAACTAAAAAATCTCTACTGCTATGCTTTGCTCAAATAGGATTCAGAAAACACTATCTGCCTTTATTGAACTCATACTTGTTATATATGCAGATGTTCTGTCATGGCCTTAGGTGCTAAAAGCTGCTAAGACCTTAACTGAACAGGCAGCATTATGAGAAACACAGCAGACAGGGAAAGAAGAAAGCTGCAGAGATGTTTGACACATGTTTGACATGCTTAGAACATCATGGTGTAGCTGAAACACCACAAAGAAAAGTATTAACCAAAGAAGCAAGAGTCCCACCAATAACTCTACAGAAATCCTTGGCTTTAAGTAGAATAATCTTTGATAGGAAGGAGAATATAAATGCGACTTTCTTGATAGAATGGTAGGAATGTATACTTTGTCTGCTAGAAGCAAACACAGATTCAAACTGTATTTTTCAGAAATTAGACAGATAAGGCAGAAATGTTAATCCATGGAACGACCTCGCTGCTTAAATAGCATGGTGGTGGAGGCATCATGCCATCATACTGAACCGAATGGAAAGAGGGAGTTTTATTTTGAAAAAAAAGGAAACTTTGAAACTTATTCAGCTCTGTATAAAGATCTGATGTCTTCTCAGAGGATCTGGATTTAAATTATACTAGTCTGTTTAGGAACCAACAGGCTTCTAAAAGGATTCACTTGGTTTTGCTTGATTTTAGTCACAGGTATCAGTGTAAAGAGATTAGGATCCCGACTGAACATGGTTTTACACATTTTTAATTTGTCTTTTTGTTGGTTCTGTATTCCTTATGGCTTGTAGTAGAGATTTAATAAGATGGGACGCGCAAAATTGTTCTAAAAATTTAACATGTTAAACTAAATGTGTGCAGTCTCCCTCATTTAAGCTAAAGGACATTGGTTGTCAGTTTGGGCCTCATTGCAAACAGTGAGAGAAAATTTTAATCAGATGAAAGTAATTTTAAATATAGAACGTTTTAAATTTGTAATGGCACTTAATTTTGTTCTCTTTTAACCTTGGATTTATGCAAAATTATTTTTGCAGAACAATTAATCAACTGGGGGATGTGGCATCAGTAGAGTCTTGATGTTTGTGCACTTTTCACTTTAATCCTGCAGATCCAAAAACAAGCTGAAATGCTCAAAGGTGTAGACTAAAGCAACTGGGTCATTTTTATTTGCACAAATGCACCTCAAACTACAGAAATCCTCCTTGACAGCTGATTATACTTATTTGCCAGGATCATGCTCATCTAAATAAAATCAATGAAAAAAACCTTAGCATGGTGGCTGAACATGTATTCAGGTAGGTGAGAACTAAAGATATATCTGCTAAGAATCAGATCAGTACTTCTATGCAGCAAACACAGAGTCTCATGGATTTTCTGAAATGCCCTTATTAAATGTGAGAGCTCCCCCTACAGGTAAGATCCAAGACAGCGACGCTACAATCACATGAGACCAGCAGCAGTAATTTAACTTTAATCAAGCCATGTGAGTTCAGCAAACACAAAGGACAGAACCATCGCAGACCTAAGATAGTTGTCCACACAGTGGATGTCCCTCCAAATGACTGCTGATGCATGCAGGGACTAAGGTAGTTTACCCTGAGGTTGATGCTGGAGGGGGAGCAGGGCCAGACAGGTAAGCAAAAGTTGATGTTGCCATGGGAACCATTGTGTTTCCCTCCCTTGTGATTGGTGCTGCTGGCATGACCAAGGATCTGCTATTTCAGTCATGATTCAACACCTCGGATACAAGTGCAGTCACAGGATGCACACACACACACACAGACATCAATACACACAAAGAGGTCACTGTGCTCACTTTCCAGCTTGGAAATACATTCAGTCGTCGTACAAAAACCTTGTTATTTGTAAAATTAAATTAGCACCTGAACTTCTTCTTGCAATAATTCAAAACTCAGTAGAAACGCAAAACATACTGTTTCTACCTAATAATCCAACCCCAGAGCCAAGGCTTTTGTGCAGGAACAGCAACAACGAGGACAACAAAAAAACCTTCAGAAGACTAATAAAGTGGTCATGGAATCGATAAACTTACATGCTTTTAAATCACTAAAGGATTTCTCAGATAAAAGATGTAATGACTCATTACTTATCTGGGTTTATGGAGCTTTGTTTCAAGTGATGAATCAATTTGTCGGGAAGCACAGGGCGTGAAAGGAAGACATGGCAGAAAATTCCATTCATGTGTGTGCTCTTTTCACGGACAAACAGTAAAGTACAGTTACATGAAAGGATGAAAGGAATTGACAAATACAGCAGAACCGATTGTTCATTAAAAAATGTGTCCATAGCACACTATGATATTTCAGATTTTTAGTTTTTTTCCCCTATTTATCCTACTTAATTGTTTCAGAACATGAAATGACTACTAAATATGCACATACACTGTATAACCTGAGAATTTACTAAAAAGACAATTTTGAAATGACAATATACACAAACAAATCTAACCCCTCATTGCCCATCAAACCAAACAGTTTATTTTAACAACAGCCATTCAGTATTTTTTATTAACTGGTAGTGAATTTTTTACATCGCTGCTGAGAAATTTTATTCTGCCACACCAGATGGTCTTCAAACATAATCAGCTTAGGTAAGGTCATGCAAAAGCATTTCAATCATGTTTAAGTCTGAACTTTGACTTATTAGCCAAACAATGACAAAGACTCTCAGATGGGTATCAAAATGTTTCCAGAAAAACTTTTAACCGACTGATAGTGGTCCCTTATGTCTGATATTTATCCCTTGAGCGTTACTTTATAAACAATTTAAGCATGGTTTGTGGTTCATGACCCAGATAACTAAGAATTTACACCGGCACATTCCAAAATCTTTGTTTTGTACTTTTGAGCAGTTTCGGAGGCACCTGCTGGTGTGCTTTGGATCATTGCCCTGCATAACACATAAGCACTTGAGTTTAAGGTCTCAAACTGATGGCAAGAAGGAAATCATTGCTAATGATTTACAGGACTCATTATCCCATTGTTGTCAGCATGTTCCTCTGGTTCTGCATACAGTATGCAAGGATCCTCTTACTGTACAACATTAGTTAAAAAAGTACAGGTTTACACTAGATGTGAGAGGATAGACATCTTTAAATTTCCAATTATGTCTCGTCAGATAAAATCCTATTTTCCCAAGAATCTTAGTCATCCTAAAGAGGGTTTTCCGCAAATGTAAGATGAATTTATATATATATTTTTTTTATTAGTTGTGCTTTTTCACCTAAGAACTTTCCCATGGGTGCTACTTTTATTCTACTATGTGGTTTGAGGCTCTTTCATGACCTCCTAGCTGAGTTGCTGTTGTGCTTTTGGAGCAATTTTGGGTGATATTGGTTTACAGTAGTCCAAAATTGCCAACAATGAGTCGTAACCCTTTCCAGGTTGACAGATATCTTTTGTGTATCTTTTTGAGATATTTTAGCTCACTGCATGATAGCAGACAGGTTTTTTAAATTATTTCTGATTCATAAAGGTCAGGTTTTAATCAGACCATGTTGTGGTTGATGATTGATTGAGGGAGTGACTTCATAGATGTTTATTTAGTGGGGCACATTCCTAATCATTACATATCTCAGCTCAAATTATATGTAATTGTAGGCTGTAGAAACTGATGAAAATATTAACTCAGAAGTATTAATCTGTATATCCAAAAAGGTTTTAAAAACTGTTTCATTTTTAAGGATTTAGAATGTCCTCAATATCAGTCTGCAGGTTTTTAATTAACAGGAAATGTTTTCTAATGTCCAACTTCTATTCTGTTAGGTCAAGACTGCTCTATGCCGCTAACGACTTAATAATATATTTTATTCACTGAGTATGACTGTAGGATTAGGGGATCATTATATTGATCTGGGTAGTTTTATTCTCTGAATGTCTTAAACCATCATTTGAAATTTTTATTTTGTCTTTACTCAGGTAGTCAAGTGTATTATATCAAATTTGATTTGATGTCTGAAAAATAAAAAAAATTGAAAATGTAACATATATCCAGAAAACTAATTTAAGAGTCAGTTGTATATTTTTGGACTCTGTCAATACCTTTGAAGTCACTCTTTTATCATCAGATCAAAAGGACAGCCTGGTGAGAAGGCTTTTTGCTTGATTAACCATTGATGAGATGTTGTTCAATTAAGATGCAGAGGAATAAAATTACATCACTTAATGTATTCTCAGGGTGAAGGTGACTGCTATAAGAATATGGTTTTACCTGTGGTTAGGTCAATTGAAGAAGCAAAAAGTGGGAAATGTGTTAATGTGGACAGAGTATGCAGCAAGGCACTAAGACCCAGTGGAGAACAGGGAAACCTGCCTGCCCACCACTGCCAGTCTGCCTGCACAGCTCTGCATTCGCTCTGGGCGTGACCAGGAATCTGTGTGTGAAAGTGTGTGAGATGGGGGAATATGTCCACATACTTGTGCATCATTAATCTCTACTTCCTTTCTTGCTTCTGGATCACCTTGACCATAGAGGCAAATACAAATCTGAGTGGACAGGTGTGTGCATGTGTGTGAGTGAATGATAAGAAAGCATCCGACTGGTCTGAGGGATGGCAAATTGAAATAGCCCAGGTGAGGAGGAGACTCAGGACTTTCCTCTTCCCCCTTCTCCTCCTCCTACACTCCCTCCCTCCCTGTGACGCGGTGTGCATGAGTGTTTGGTGTGTGTGTGTGTGTGTGTGTGTGTGTGGGTGAGAAAGCGAAACAGGTCAGCAGTGCTTCAGCAGACTGGGAACCTTCACAGGAGGAAGCAGCCCTCTGCAGACTCAGGTATGTCACTCACAATTCATTACTCACATTTCCAGCCTTAGCTGCCCCCTTGGCAGGGCAAGTAGGTGGGTTAAAGGAAAGATGAATGACTCATGATGCAGTATTTTCTCTCACATCTCTGCATTCTCATGTAAAACAACAAACTATAGAAAAGACAGTTCGTTTTCAACACTGTCTCATGAGTGTTGCTTGTCCGTTGCTGCAGGGTAGTAAGAAAGCTGTGCAGTGACAGGTACGTTGAACAACAGCCTACTTTTTCTGCCTGCGCCAAACAGTGTCATGTGCATATGATAGGGTCATATGTTTCCAAGTCAGCAGTCCGAGGGATTCAGTACAGCTTTGGATTGTAGCTTTGTGCAATGTTTTTTCTTTTCCGTAAAGTTTAAACTTAAATTGCACTGCTGTCACTGATTTGATTACATTAACTCTGCTCTACTGTGCTCTTTCCCTCACTAAATAGTTTTGTTTGTGTAGTGAAGACCTCATTTAAAAAATCCCGTGATTCAGGATGGTATTTAGCAGAATCACACCATTTTAAGAATAAACTGCTGATTTGTGCAGCAAAGTGATTATATTTTAGCTTAGGCATGGGTTAGTATTTGATTCTTATAATATCAAAACCTCTTGTGAAATGAACAATTACAAATTAACAGAACAACATGAAACAGTATTTAATTGCTTTTATTGATAATCTTCTGCTTATATATGAACCATTCATTGTCAATGATGATATTGTCATAAAAATTTTATTTTGATTTGGTGCAAAGATATTAGCAATTTTAGATACATGTCTGCCATTTTCTTTTTTATAGTAACGCTCAAGCGATAAATATCAGACTTAAGGGACTAATATCAGATGGTTGATCTAATCTAACCGCAGTAATCAAAATGCAGTCATGCTAATCGTAGCTGACACCTTTTGTTAAAAAAACCTGTTAACTAGATAAGGATGGGTGGAGCCCCCTTTTAACTACACTAAACACTGACCTTATAAATTTTTCATTGATAAAACTTCAAAACAGCTTATTTTGTCTTTCTTGTTGACAAGGGAAACGTATAGTAGACATTAGCAGCTAATTAACCAATAGTGCAAATCACCAGGTGGTGAAGGGGCAGTGGTCTTCATGCAGTGGTCTCTATACTCAGATACAAACTGAATTTACTTTGTGATTTTCTCAATATCTCTTTAAAAATACTTTAAACTGCCCTACATGTGACATGAGGAATTCAATAGATGATTATATCACTCTGAGCTATTAAGAAATAAAACACCCATTATCTTATGCCCACACCTGTCAGGTGATCATTTCACCTGCTGTGTATATAAATGGGCAGGAAAAGATGAGTAGCCCTACGGAGGACCAGCCAGTGATACCAATGAAGTGGAAAACTTACACCTGCAGGTGAGCAGCATATGGAAATGTACCAATGCTTTTGTGCTGGCTTCCGAGCTTTAACATTGTGTGGGGTTGCATCTAGGTGAGGTTGTGACAGTAAACACTACCTACTCGACTGGCAAACAGACTGCTGAGGGTGACCCACGACCATATGCATGAGTGATATTGAAATTTATAAGAGACAGTCTCTTAAAAGAATATATCTTTTTTAATATTTTTCCAAAGACAAGAAGTCAAGTTTGAATTTCTTGCAATTTGAAAAGGATTCATCGATCTCCTTCTCACATCACTTAGGACAGAAGGGAGCTCTGTAATGCTGAGTTTTGCAATTTATTTGCACATCCATAATTTCTTCTCCAGTAATCTAATGGGGACATATGGTCCAACCCTTTGCTTTTAGCTTCTCCCTGTGGGGGTTGCTGCCCTGAAAACACACATCTGAGGATGCAGATGTCAAAATATCCAATAAATCATGACCCCGGCTTTAAATAAACACAGCCAGCATTAAGATAAATAACTTTTAAGTGACAGAGTAGATTTAAGCTAAAAGATGGCATTGCTTTCAGTAGTAAAACTAGTGTTTTACAACTGAAAAGCTAGGAAATTTGTTTTGCAGACGAAGTAACCTACTGATAGTAGCTAATAAGCTTCACTGTACAGAATGTTTAATATTAAGTTTTAATGATAAGAATTTTTGCATGTCCAGCATCCAGCTTTAGTGTTTGTCATTATTCTTTAAAGCAAACTAACAACAGAGGTAATTTCTCAAGTTCCCAGTATTCATGTAACGCATTAAATTACTGAATGAAACTCTTTTCTTTCTTCTAGATCTTTGCTGAATGGGATTATCAAGAGAGGACTTCTTTAGTTAAGAGCGTATCTACATCAAGGTTAACATCTTAACCATCATCCAAACTCCAGATACAAGTCCACTGGGTTCAGGGCCTGCACGCTTTTAGCAACTATGGCAAAAACCGACGGCTGAGCCTCTCGGAGACCCCCTTCAACAGAGGAGGATGGGTGATGGACCCGTAAAATTCAGCAAATTCCCTCCTCTTCATTTCAACCTCTCATGGAGAATCCCATCAGACCAAGGCCCTCCTGGAACAACGCGTCCGCATCCACATTCCAAAACTCTTTTCAGCCAAATGTGTCTAATGTAATCAGGCAAAACGGAACTGCTGCGAATGGGATAGATCTGAATCAGACCTTGGGGCTTTGCGCTATGCTCGTCATGGACATTCTAGCAATTGTGGGGAACTTGGCTGTGATGATTGTGATCACTAAAACACCACAGCTGAGGAAGTTTGCCTTTGTGTTCCACCTCTGTCTGGTGGACCTGCTGGCAGCACTGCTGGTGATGCCTCTGGGGATGCTGTCAGACCGTATTCTGGAGGATGAGGCTCTCTGCCGCAGCTACCTCTGTCTGAGTGTTTGTCTAGTGAGTGCTGCCATCCTCACCATCTGTGCGATCAACGTGGAGCGGTACTACTACATTGTCTATCCCATGCGTCATGAGGTGAAGATGACTGTTGGGGTGGTGGTAGCAGTGCTAGTTGCAATCTGGATTAAAGCTCTCATCATGTCAATGTTGCCCTTGCTAGGATATCTGCTCCAAGGGACTCCCACTGTGGGGACTCCTGGAGACCTAGTTCCCAGTCAGAGACACTGTTCCCTCCACTGGACTGGAGGAAGGACCACACGACTAATTTTCATGGTTTTCTTTACTGTAATCTATTTTCTGTGCCCTATGCTGATCATTTTGGTGGTCTACTGCAATATGTTCAAGGTGGCCCGAGTGGCATCCATGCATCGTGGTCCAAACCCCACTTGGGTAGAAACTTCGAGGCAACGCTCCGACTCTGTGAGCAGCCACTCCACCATGGCAGCAAGCCTTGCAGGCACTGGAGCACGTGCAACTCCTCAAAGGACCTTCAGTGGCGGGAAGGCCGCAGCAGTTTTGGTGGCAGTCGGAGGTCAGTTCTTCTGCTGCTGGCTGCCATATTTCTCCTTTCACCTCTACTCGGCTGTCATTTCAACCTCTCCGGCCTCCCTGATCCAACTGGAGGACGTGGTCACATGGATTGGCTATTTCTGCTTCACCTCCAACCCCTTTTTCTATGGCTGCCTGAACCGACAGATTCGAGAAGAGCTGGGCCGCCACCTGGCTTGTATTTTCAAAAAGGCCGCACCAACAGAGGGAGAGCAGCTACCCAGCCGTGAAGCCTCCATCGAGGAGAACTTTTTGCAGTTCCTTCAGGGCACTGGATGCAATCTGGAGCCCTGCAACTCTCACAGCAGAGTCACCCCAGAGGAGGCAGGAACTGAGGGTCTTCAGGAATCAGCTGTTGAGCAGAACACGCCAGCTGACTTCCATGTCCCAGGGCAGATCCTCGAGGAAACGGCAGAGTTCATGCAGCATCAACGGCTAAACAATGAGCTTTGTGTATTGAAAAACTGCTGCAAGACTGTGCCAGAGATATAGCTGCCTCATATACTGTTTCTTGCACCAAGTAATAACACAATGACGATTTTTTGTTTTATTCATAGTGTTTGTTATTTATGTGGCAACAATTTCTTTGGGCAATAAATCCAGGAGACAGCAAGATTTGGTTTAAGAGTATGCTTTTGGTTAGAACTCTAACTCTTAAAGACTTACAGTTTGGACTTTAATGACTGCCACTTTACGTGTTTTGGGCGTCATATGGTGTCATGCAGTTTTTGCTCTGCGTCACATAACATTTCATGTTTTGGTTACAGTTCAAGTGAAGTGATGATCTTCATATAAACATGAAGAGGCTCTCAAACATGGCTAGAAGGTAAATCAGGGAAAGAGATGTTTTAAATGCTGAGTGACTGCTGTAGTTTTCAGAAATGTGTTTTATTTATGAAGTGTTTAACATCATTAACCCTACAGAGAAACAGACTGATATCAGTGGTAACAGAACTAATGCACAAAGAAAAGCACTATTTTCAAATGGAAAACATTGCATTTCTGTACTTATTTGTTGTCCTTCAGATCCTTTTATTTAAAGTTTTTAAATTTTGAAATAAGAAGGAAACTCATTGACAATTAGATCCAGTTAACTCAGAAATAAAGAGCTATGAAATAACAATTCTCAAGCTTTGTTTAAATTATTTTTTAAGTACTGCTTTAAAGTAGCCTATGCTGAAATTAGCAAAACATGACTTGAACAAGGATATAAACAATTTTCCCTCATAGCTCTGCTTTAAAGCTTACTCCAGAGTTGAATGTTTTGTGTTTGTGCTCATTAGCTAAGTTGGGGTTTATGTCATGCTTTGATGGAAGTTCTGACATTATATGTTAATGGAGCAAAACATTAGTAGCAAGGTTGCTTGGGTTCACTGTCTTCTCCTACATCATACTGAGTTTGTTTTTATCTTGCAATTAAATGACTGCAGAATTTCCTTTGAGTACAGCTTAACGCAGCCCAATAACAGTGTGAATACCAAAGGATTTAAACAATTGAATAAAAATAGAAAACAATATAAAAAAGCAACATAAAAAGCAAAGCTTACCAGTTTTAAGAAATACGTTTTTTACTGTTTTCATCATGAACTTATTTTATGTTTTTATTTAAAAAAAACAAGGAATTAAACAATGTGAAAGGCTTTAAATAAAAGTTTTGTGTCAACGTTTTGAAACTTTTATTAATTAAACTTTTATTAATTAAACTTTTATTTATGAACAGGATTGTTTCACAGCTTTGTCTGGTATTTATAATAAACAGCCTGGCAGTGTATTTTTAGTCATTTTCCAGAATCTTATTATCATGTTTATCTGTTCTTAGTCTTGTGATTATCACCTCTTCACCAAAATGGGAAACTCGTGATTTCATTCCCTTCCACTCAAAGACAAACATTGTGGCTGATTTAGTTTGTTTAGGAGCAGCGCAGTGTAAAAGGGTTTTAGGCTCTTTCAGAGAACAGCCGCGCCATGTTAGAAACACTACAGGAATAAAACACCCTGTGATGTCTGTGCTGTTTACAGGTAAACATCAGAGCGGTGTGAGCGCTCTCGTGTTTGTGCAATAAACAACCAGGCTTGTTGTGGCTACACATAGCACAGAGGTGTGACAACGCTCGCAGACATGGAAAGCTTTGCCTTTGGCCTTGTTTAGCAGCAAATGGAAGACATTGAGACACTTTTTCTCTTTCTAGAAGAATAGCAAAGCACTGTGCTCAAGTCACACGAGTGGAGACCAATTTTCCCAAGAAGACAGATATGTTAATTCCTAAAGTGAAGGCACCTTTCGTGCTGTTTTATCTGTCTGTCTTATATGGGGTAGTCTGTATGATCACAAGACTCTGAACACAAGGCAAATGGCTAAAACAAAAAAATGGTCTCTTTGTGAGGGGGAACAAATAACACTGTTCATTTTCTTTCAGTTTGACCTTGTTTCAGACATGTTTTTCTATTTTAAAATGTTTATTTTTGCAAATGAGAATGCCAAAAGCCAAGTCTAAGCCAAGAGCACTGACAAAGACAAATAAGAGATGCACTCTTCGATGTTCCTCAGTTTGTGTGTTTTCATTTATTATCAGCACTTATAAAACTGTTAATATTAAGACATTATATAAAATGCCTTGATTTATACCACCAGCGTTTGTAAACATTAGCAGCAAAACTGCCCTGACCAGTCTGATAAAATGCTTTAAACTCTCCTTCTGTCAACATTTGTCAATTCCAAAGATGGGGACGCTATCTGCTAAACTGTTGGAAGTGGATAATTTATTTACTTTTTAAATGCAATGTTGACCTCTGTATCTCATCCGTAAGCTGGATGTATTCATTTCCCATAGCATTTATGTTTTGTACTTGAGCTGAAAAGACTGTTATTCCTCCTGTGTTCTCTCCATCTGCTCAACTCATTAAAGACAACGGCAAGAATTTTAATTTGAGTGTTGTTGCTGCAGATATGCGTGGACCAATAACTACAAATGTCCTTGTGTGTGTTTTTGTGTGTGATCCCAGCAGGAGTTAAAAAGAAGGCAAAGTTAGGTTAAGGATATAATGAAAGCGGGCATTAGTAAAAAGCTTGATGTAGAAACTAACTTTTACCAACATTATTTCCATAAAATTAACTTTTTTCATAATTTCCGAGGTTCGGCCTTTTTGATAGTTGATAGAAGATTGTCTTATGATGTTAGGGGCTTTTTGTTTTTAGCTAATTCTGTTATTTCCTTCTACCAAGCATATATTGAGAAAATGTGATTAAAATGACAACAGATAAGTATTGAAAGATGTTCCAAGATGTTCTATTATCAATTATTCTTAGCATTAAGTTTAGTTTAGTTTTTCTTTGCTTAGGTTTATCTTATGTAAGCACAACACAGCTTCATGTTGTGCTTGTAGTAAGAAGTTCAGGAGCCCCTTACTACAAGTGCAGACAGGAGCGTTAAATGTCCGGTAACTTAAAAATAGTTATTTAGAGACCTGTTAATCTGCCCCAAAATACTCAAAGGCAACAATGGAAAATGAGGCAAAATAATAAGGAAATCCATTTACAGAAGAATTTAAAAAAAAAAAACTAAATGGTCAATCTAACAATGCATGAATAAAACAAAGGAGTATGAACTGTGGAAGCCAAAAAGGGGATTTTATAGGTACTTTTAGAGCAAAAATGGGAACATAGCTTCCATAAACAGTTGAACATTTTGAGCTGTCAACTTTGCAGAAGTCCCTTATATTGAGATTGCAATTGGTTGAGGTAGGTAAAAAAATAATTTTTGTCTACCTAAATAAAAAGTATTCAAACTATTACACCAATTTATATTATGATTGTTATTAAAACTGTAACCATTTCTTTTGTGAATTTGTGATGTGTGATTACTGATGGCATCCCGTGAGCTGCCACCTGTGGTGGGTTTGTTTGAGTGCCTGGATGATCTTTGGAGCTAAGTTGTCCACAGCGTTATGCCCCTGGTAGGGTCTTCCATGGGAAAAAGGTCCTAGGTGACGAGTCAGACTAAGAGCAGCTCACAAGACCACTTTGGATAGAATTAACACAAGGACAGTGACATCGCCCAGTAAGGCGCACCTTGAGGCCAGGCCGGGAGGTTGAGAGGAACTGGCTGGATATAGTTGGGCTCACCTCTACACCTCTACACACAGCTTGGATTCCAGATTATATCTCCTGGAGAAAGGCTAGACGCTCTACTTCTCTGACATTGCCCGTGGCAAGAGGCGGCGAGCTGGGGTGGCCTTGCTCATTGTCCACCCTCTCAGTCGTCACATGTTGGAGTTCACCCAGGTGAACGAGATGGTCGCATCCCTACGCCTTCTGGTTAGGGACAGGTCTCTCACCGTTGTCTCGGCCTATGGGCCCAAGATCGGTGCAGGGTACCCAGCCTTCTTGGAGTGCTTGGGAGGGGTACTAGAAAGTGCTCCAACTGGGGTCTCTGGACAGGGGTGATCGGTAGGTACGGCCTCCCCAATCTGAACCCGAGCGATGTTCTATTATTGGACTTCTGTGCTAATCACAATTTGTCCATAACAAACACCATGTTCTAACACAAGGGTGTCCATAAGTCAATGTGGCACCAGGACACCCTAGGCCAGAGGTTGATGATCAACTTTGTAGTTGAGTCATCTGATCTCCGGTCATGTGTCGCGGACACTCAGGTGAAGAGAGGGGCTGAGCTGTCAACCGATCACCACCTGGTGGTGAGCTAGATCCTCTGGCAGGGGAGGAAGCCAGTCAGACCTGACAGGCCTTAGCGTGTTGTGAGGGTCTATTTCGAACATCTGGTGGATGCCGTCAAGCTGAAGAAGGAGGCCTACCTGATCTTGTTAGCTAGTGGGACTCTGGAGTCAGCTGAGAGGTACCGGCAGGCCAAGTGTACTGCGGCTCGTGCGGTCACAGAGGCAATAAACTCGGGTTTGGGAGGAGTTCAGAGAGGCCCTAGAGGAGGAATATTGGTCGGCCTCGAAAGTGTTCTGGCAAACTGTCCACCCCCTAAGGAGGGGAAAGCAGTGCTTCAACACACAGTGTGAGTGGGGAGCAGCTGACCTCGACTACGGATGTTGTCGGGCGGTGGAAGGAGTACTTCGAAGATCTCCTCAATCCTTTTGTCACGCCTTCCGAGGAGGAGGCAGAGGCTGGGGACTTAGAGGTGGACACGCCCATTAGCCAGGCTGAAGTCACCGAGATAGCTAGAAAGCTAGTGGCAGGGGCCCAGGGAGGGATGAGATTCCTCCTGAGTACCTTAAGCCTCTGGATTTTGGCTGAAACGTCTTGGCAGTATCGCATGGTGGTCGGGGACAGTACTCCTGGACTCCTGGTCCCTCTCTTTAAAAAGGGGGCCCGGAGTTTGTGCTCCAACTACAGAGGGATCACACTCCTCAGCCTTCCCAGTAACGTCCATTTAAAGGTGCTGGAGAGGAGAATCGACCTGATAGTCGAACCTCAGATCCAGAAGTAACAATGCGGTTTTCGTCCCCGATGCGGCACACTGGACCAGCTCTATACCCTTCATCGGGTGCTTGAGGGTTCGTGGGAGCCCAACAAGTCAACATGTGTTTTGTGGATCTGGAGAATGGCTTTCCTCCGTTTCCCTTGTGGTGTGGGGGATGATCCGGGAGTATGGGGTCTGGGGCCCTCTGTTAAGGGCTGTCCGCTCTCTCTATGACCACAGCAGGAGTGTGGTTCGCATTGCCAGCAGTAAGTCAGGACTATTCCCGATGCATGTTGGCCTACGCCAGGGCTGCCCTTTGTCACCGGTTCTGTTCATTACATTTATGGACAGAATTTCTAGGCGCAGCCAGGGACCAGAGAGTGTTCAGTTTGGGAACCTCAGGATATCATCTCTGCTGTTTGCATATGAAGTTGTCCTGTTGTTATCTGTTGTAAGCTCAGTTACCCGAGAGGAGCTTGGAGTAGAGTCGTTGCTCCTACATGTCGAACGGAGCCAGCTGAGGTGGCTCGGGCATCTGTTTCGGATGCCTCCTGGTCGTTTCCCTCAGGAGGTGTCCCTGGCATGTCCCATTAGGAGGTGGCCTCGTGGAAGGCCCAAGACACCCTCGAGGGACTATGTCTCAGAGCTGGCTTGGGGTCGCCTCAGGGTCCAGAGCAGCTGGAGGAAGTGTGTGTGCATCTGGAAGTCTGGGCATCTTTGTTTAGAGTGCTGCCTTCGCGACCCGACCCTGGATAAGTAGAATTAAAATGGATGGATGGATTATTAGTGATGTGATTTGTTGTGAAGGATCAACAAATAAAGAGAGGGAATGGAAACAATCTCAGAAAGTAGTCTAAATATTTATTTCGACAACTTTCATTGTCATTTTGTATACACATAGTGTACAGCTTTCAGAGAGTTTTATGGTCTTAATGATTAACTAGTAGACTTAAATGGGACCTATAGTAAAAAATAAATTGAGTATAATTTGCATAGTCAGTCAAGCATCTACAGTCATGTTTTCTTTCTTCAGTGTTTCAAGGTGTCCAATCCAATGAAAGATTGACGCCGGTTAACTCAGAGAGGATTGTCTATTTCGTGATCCAACTAATTTTTACAATCTTTACTGGGCTGCTCACATCAGTTGCAGCCTTATAGCCATCATCTGAAGAGGTGCGCCTCCTGCAACGCACAGCAACACCACAAATGACCTGGCCTTTGTTCTTGGCTACAATACTCAATAAGAGTGCTCAGGGATCGCAGCCACCACCTGTCACTTCTGAAGGTCACCGGGGGCACTGCACCCTTAATAGGTGGGAGGGTTTTGGTGTAAACAAAAGCCTTAAAACAGGCTCAGAAAAGATGACACATGCAGTCTTACAAAACCATCAACAACACACAGTGAATCACTGCAGTGATAGAGATTAGCTCAATTACAACAATTTCTCACCTACTCTGAAACCCTGACTCTTGGGATACAGCTCTTGTCTTGATGGTGTTTAGAGATAGCAGCAGTAAGGGATTAATTTAACAGAAATGGCAGGAGGCGTGAGATGATCAGGAAAAAAAGAGTAAGGGGATCTCTTTATCAATTAATTCTACATTCAAAAATAAACACAGAAGTCCTCTGATTGCATCTACAAGGATAAAGATAATCATCATTTATTTATTGTAAAAGGCAGATAAATATGTACCATGCCTTTGAAAACTCTTCATATCTCTATTTGTAATTGAAGTTTAATTCATTTTAAATTCATGTATTATAAACAAAAACAATTATGGGTAACAGTATAATACTAGTTACATTAATATGTAAATAAACCAAAAAAATGTTAAATTGTAAAAAATATCTCAGGGGCTTTATACGACCTTCTTAATATGGTGTCCCAAAAAATCTTCCAGTCAGTGTCTCCTTTCAGATTGTTAAGCATGGCCTCATAAGAGGCTGTGTCCGCCATTAATTTAATAGAATAATTTATCTCTGGGTGCACCGTGGTCTTTCAGTGTCTTAAGATGATTTGGGATGCTGTCACAAGACTAACCCTGATGGCTGAAAACATTTTGTTAGAGACATTCAACATTTGAAATCTGTCTCTCAATAGACACAATTCTGGGGTCTGAGTGACTTCTAAGCCAGACCAGGAACTTACAAAAAGTTCAGCTGAAAGGGTAAAACCAGAGGGCATTTTCAAAGGCAATGTAAATATGTCCCCACTTCATCTTAACATTTCCAGCACAAATCATACAGCATTATTTTCATTCTGTACAATCTGGTAGGAGTATAACATCGATGCAACACCTTTTATTATATCAATTTACTTCTGGCCTCATTCACATATTTTTCCTTAGTTATGTTACAACGACAAACTTTTAATTTTGTTACAGTATTTTATGATATTTGCAAATAAACTAGTGCTTGATCACTAAGAAAAATTATACCAACTTTTCTGTTTTTACAAATAGAATTTTGCAGCAGAATGGGTGGTAAGTATCTGGTTAGCTCCTTGTGTCAATCTGTAATTTACTCACCTTTCAATTATGCTTATCCTAAAGGTCTTTATGTAGCCACACTTCCACAAAGTCCAGATTTACAGAGTGGAAACACATCCATGCTAAGGTTTCATGCAGCTTACTTTTCACCTCATGGTGCTTGTCTGATAAGTACTTCTCATGCCAGTAAGTTGGACAGCCATACATAATATTGATAGACAGTGGTGCTGTGTATTTATTTTTTAAAATCTGATCTAAATAGTGTTTCACTGGTAATTAAAAGCCTGTGTTTTATTTCAAATCTTGACCCTACTTCTCCATAATCTTAGTGTCGACCGGTCTGCTGTGGTTCTTGGTATTTATGAAGTTTGTTCGTGAGAAAGTACAGACATTTGAATAAAATCACCCAGGGGGGTCTTGTTTTTTTTGTTTTTTTATCAATAATTAGCTAACTTCTGGAGGTAAATCTCTGCATATCATAATTATATAATGAGTTATTTGTAAACACAAATAAATGCCCCTCATAAATACATATAGTTTCACTATATGTCACTTGGGGGCGCTATTGCTTCACCTAAAACCTCTAAAGGAAAAGTAACTCACACGTCCCATTATTGTCTTCTCAGCAAAACTTGATTCGTTGGGTTTTGTTTGCTTTTAGATGTAGATCCATCTGCATCTCTCAGAGGGCTGCTGGGTTGTTTTGATCTTCTGATCTTAATTTATCTTCTAATCTAATCTGCAGCTGGAATTGCTTAAGATATGTAAACATATCCATATTTCCCCTTTTGGCTTTTTAACACTTTGGTTTTCAGTTTATTTACTTTTGCTGGTTTGTTAATTTGGAGTTTCCCTCTTTTTTAATGTATAGATAATTGTTTAGGTAATAATCTATCAGGACTGACAGGGCTGAAGCTGAGCGCATCAGGCTGAAGGTTGAGTTGGGCGCAGCTCTCGGTGCCACCGCCTCTCTGCGCGCTTCTCCTCTCGGTGGAGAAACTTCAGCTCCCACCCGAGCTGTGGACGGAGACAGAATAACATATACGAAGCGGATTTTATTTTGTTTTGTTCTGGAGAAAAAAACAAACAAACAACCAGCAGAAAAAATGGGCTGCACGATCAGCGCCGAGGATAAAGCTGCGGTGGAAAGGAGTAAAATGATTGATAAAAACCTACGAGACGACAGAGAGAAATCATCCAGAGAGGTGAAACTGCTTCTACTCGGTATGGATCCATACCCGATGCTTCTTTTTGCTTCACTGTTTTAATAACTTTTTATAAAGTATGTAACTTTTTGAAATGTCCATTTTTTTTCTTCACTGTGACTTATTAGTTTGGGAAACTTCAACACTCCTCCCCTTTCTCTCCCTCTTATGGAGCTGGGACTCATCGTTCCCTGAGAAAGCTGACAGAAAGAAACCAGATGTTGGTCAGAGAGCAACTGCAACAGCTTGGCTGTATTTATCAGTGTTGGGTTGTTGAAAAGAATAAGGGGAGCATGCTTATATAAGAAGACAAGTGTTGTCAGTTGTTGCTGAAAATGTTGGATACAGATGAAGGACTGTTTTACTTTAGGGGATGAGCTGGAGGAGCAGCTGGGTCATTAATCCAAAGCATTTAGCAGGAATCTACATTTAATTTGGCATTCGAAGGTGCATTTAAAATATTAGAATATCTAGTAGTTGATTATTTTGCTGGTTTAAAGTGAAAGTACTTTATTGCAGTGTCATTAATATATATATTTTATGTTAAATTTCATGATTGTAGCTGTTGATTTTATAGTTATCAGACTAACAGACCATTAATTCAATTTCACTTCAGTTTATTTGTATGGCGCCAATTCACAACACATGTCATCTCAAGGCACTTTACAATTCAACCAGATTATACAGTGAAATTGATTCAAAGTTTTCTATCTAATGAAAACCAGTTGATTGCAGTTAAATCCCATATCAAAGAGGTTTCTAGAATTTCCTTCTTTCATCTGCGGAATATTACAAAAATTAGAAAAATCCCGTCCAGGGGTGATGCTGAGAAACTAGTCCATGCATTTGTTACTTTAAGGCTGGACTGTTGTGATTCTTTACCATCAGGAAGTCCACAAACTGTAGTTAAAAGCCTTCAGCTGATCCAAAATACGGCAGCCAGAGTTCTGATGAAAATTCAAAAAAGAGATTTATATCTCTCCTATCCCGGCTTCTCTTCATTGGCTTCCTGTTAAATCAATAATAGAATTTAAAACCTTAAAGACTAGGCTTAAGACTTTCCTTTTTGATAAAGCTTATAGTTAGCGTGGCTCAGGTTATCCTGAGCTATCTCTATAGTTATGCTGCTATAGGCTAAGACTTCAGGAGGACATAGGGACCTCCATTTCATCATTCTGCTTCATTCTATTTCTATTCTTCCACTTAATCTGTTAGTTTAATGTTATGCTCTCTATGCCTTTTCTCATAGTAGCTTCACCTCATCTGTTCCTGTTTGGCTGTGACACCATCCTGGAGAGAAATATCAGCTATGCTGCGACCATCAACACCTTTTTTTTTAATAGATATTTGAGATCAGCCTGTTTTTCCAGTGTAGTCCCGTTTCTCTGACTGGGACTGGCTGGATGTGCTCTCTTCATCCTCTGACATGGGAGCTGGCTCGGAGCTCGTTTGCCTGGCTGTGTGTTTTCTGGACGGGGCCGCCTTATACCGTTGCTCTTTGTATCTCTGCTTCTGTCTCCTTGAACCCTAGTCGTTTTCGGCAGATCAACTCTTTGACACAAAGGCAATCCCTCAAACTAAGAATGCTTGCAGTGACAGAGGAGAGGAAAACTCCCTTTTAACAGGAAGAAACCTCCAGCAGAACCAGACTCGGGGTGAGCGGTCATCTGAGGCCGACTGGGGTTCAAGGAGACAGAAGCAAAGATACAGAAAGAAGCAGAGATACAAAAGGCAACTGTAAACCAGCACCACGGGCAGCCCTGTCTAGAAAACACACAGCCAGGCAGACAAGCTCCGAGCCAGCTCCCGTGTCAGAGGATGAAGAGAGCACATCCAGTTAGTTACAGTCAGAGAAACAGGACTACACTGAAAAACACAGCTGATATTTCTCTTCAGGATGGTGTCACAGCCAAACAGGAACAGACCAGATGAAGCTACTATGAGAAAAAGCAGAGAGAACAGAACATTAGAGATTGAACTGATAAAATTCTACAGAGTGGGAGAATAAAGAATCAGTGATTCTCTCTACATTTAGGGTAGGCCACAACAAATCATTACTAATGAACCTGGACTGTTGTCCTAATTCATTGCGAGCATTTAATGGACAGTTTAGTGGAAGGAAAAATGTGGTAGAATAAGGTTAAAAGGCAAGAGGAATTACAGCTGACTTTTGAGGATCGTGAACTATTTGATATCAGGCAGTATGCTGTTCTTGCTGCCGTTGTGAATAAGAATTTTCATTTTAGGTTTTTCCCACTGATACTTATTTCCATTTTTTGTAGCTTACAAAATCTAATTTGATCATTTGTTTTTCTAATTTTTTTTATTCTAAGGACAATACAGAAAAAAGGTGTTGCATATACAGTACTTTAGCAGAAGTAATATTTTCAATCACTGAGAACCAAGTGAACACAAGATTCAAGCAGCAAAGCAATCGTTTTAAATGAGTATTTATTATTTATTTATTTTTAAATAAAAAAGGGCCATCAAAGTACTTTCTTTTTGGTGATACAAGAGGTAGACTGACATCATTTTGGGAAAATATTAAAGTGTTTTCCTTGTATCTGCTTTGGCTAATGCATGCTCACATTTCTTTATCGATCTGTGAATTAGCAGCATTACCTTGACATCATGTGTAGCCCATGCATTCATTTGCTATTTATTGTTGAAATATTTTTTTTTTTTCAATTAGTGAAAAAATGTTCCCTTTTTGTTAAAATCAAAAAGTTCCAAACTGAAAAAAAAAAAAAAAAACATGTTCATGAGATTTGTAGTATCCTATATGTACCATGTGAGTCCTGCTTCAGCCAGGATCAGGGTCCTGCTCTGGAAGAAATGGGACGTTACACCTTTCAGACACTTTTTGTTTAGATTTAAACATTAACATGTTGCGAAATGAAATGTTTGCTGAAGCTTGTGCAGTATAAATTCCCTTAACTCTCTGTATTTCTTTTATTAGACAGTTTACACTTTATTTATTAACATAAAAAATTTTAATAAATAAAAAAAAAAATTAATTAAACTCACTAGAATAGGAAGAAATCTAACTTGAACTATATATATTTTTCTAATCTTGAAGTGTTCTCATTTCTTCAATGGTTTTCCAAAAAAATTGATTTCTGAATGCTGGTTAAAATAAAATGATACCTTTATTTGCTAATAATCCCTAGCACAGTATTCTTATGTATTATAACTATACAAAGACTAAAACACTGAAAATAAGCACAAATAAATAAAGCAAATAAAGGGGAAAAAGGGGTTTAAAGTCAGTTAAAGAGTCTCTGAGGAATGTTCAAGTTTTAAGGCTTAATGCATTGAAAGTGTTCTTTAGAAATAATAGCAGATGAATGTGAAGAAACCCTGATGCAGAGATATTAAATGTAGTCAAGACAGTTACATTTAATTTGGTTTTATGGTGAAAAGTGAACAATGACAAGCAATAACTAGAGGCAAATTTGCAGGGCTTAATTTTATAATTTTATAACTCACAGTAGCCCGGGACATCTCCCTTTAGCTAAGGCATTCCGCTGTTGTTGTAGGTCAATCATATCTGGATGGCTCCCTCTCATCTGCTTCAGCAGGCCGGTGCACGAAACACTGCGTTTAACTCGCTTTGTACCGCAGGTAAAGACGGTCAATACGATCAGCTCCTTCTGAATCGTAGGAAAGGTAGTCTGACCTGGTCTTGCAAGCACAGACTTCTCTGGAATGATTTGGTTACTAATTAGCGTAGCTCAACACGGCCACTGGCAACAGGAAGTTGAACAGGAGCTACTTCCTTAAATAAGCCCAATTTACACTATCCTTTTAAAACTGTGCCAAGATCATCCGAGCACGGTAACTGAGATAACTGTTGAGTGTAAACTGTGCTAATGTGATGTGTAAACTGTAGTAAAGGAACCAAGCTAAGCACTGTTAACTGATCCAAGCTCGGTCCAAACTCGCCATGGATCGGTTTTCAGAGGGTAGTGTTAATGGGGCCATAAACTTTGTTCCAGGGGTGTGACTTCCTGTTAGATCACTGACATTATGGCTGTGTTGAAACGTCCTACCTAACCCCTAAACCCCTCAGTCGCAATATAGAGCAAGGACTATATAGTGGACTTTATAGTGAACTCGGTTAACTTACCATTCGGACAGATGATCACTACACTGACAACACCAAACCAAAACACTGTGTAATTGCACCAAATATATTTAATGCTCTAAACTCCCATATCAATGAGTTAAAGGTAAAGGTAGGTAAAGGTAGCTCTTTTGTTTCCTGTCCTTTTTCTACTGATTAATCCAGATGTGCTTCACCTCATGGCCAGACACACCTGGATTAATCAGTTCATCCAATAATGCAACACAGGATACAACAGAGCTGCCTTAAATTCATGAAGTAGTGAAGGTGTGCATAGAGCCCATGGTTGAGTAAATAAAATAGGTGCAGAACTTTTAACTCTGGGAAATAATTTTTTTTATTTTTTAACCCTTACCTTCTGTGAACATTTAGAAATTAGCTTTCTTTTCAGAACGCTCTACATTAATGCTTTCCTTCCAAACCTTTCAGTTTGGTGGTAGACCAGACAGAGATGCCAGGAGGATTACCTGCCCAGCCGTGCTCAGCATTTCCATGCAGTCACAGCTCTTTGCACCCAAAGTTAATAAAATAGCTCTCAAATTATACTCTGAAAGTTGATGATATGTTGGAACCCCTAAAGGATTAAGAGGAAGGTGTAGCTTATTAGATGAAGATAAATCAATGTTTTTCAACGTTACACAGTAGTGATAATTGCTTATTGTGCTGATGAATTATTTGAGTTTGAAAATTAAGCTGTAGAAAAATTGGTCACACCCAAATGATCAGAACATCTCAAAATAATGCACTATGGAAATATTTTTATTCTCTGTGCAATATTTTCTGGATAATCTAATTAGTGCTGGAGCTAAAACTTTCCGGATCACTTTGAGTAACATATATAGGTAATTAGATCCAGTAATTTGAGGACTGATGTGACATGTTAAGGCATACTC